ACAAAGGATATATTACTACTAATGCTCATTATTTATTTACTTTGTTGCACACATTCCCTTTCACATTTACTCGTGATTATTATTTTTTAAAAAAAAAACTTCCTACAATATTTTTATTTTATCATTTTCTGTATTTATTACATGCTTGTCTAATGTTTTTGCATATGCTAATGAATCTTATTAATTAATTGTATTGCATTTCAATTGTTTAAGATTATGTTATAATTATGTGACAATAATAATAATAACAGCTATTGATCAATTGATATCATATTGAATTTCATTCAGTTAAATTGTACATCAGGTCAGAGCGTTCAACTGACTGTTATACTGAGAAAAAGATTAGAGGCATGGTAACTTTATTATTATTATTATTGTATATATTTTTATTGTATGATTATTAAATAATTAGAATATATACATTCCTTTAATTATGATCTTTCGATTAACTCTACTATTGTGTGATTTATTATTCCTGAACCTATTGCTAGTTTATTATTCATAGTCTCCCCCCTATTCATAGCCACTTTTGGCTTGCTCATGTATGAATGTATTTTCACATTTTGTGGTGTGATGTTGTGGTCCGGTATGCTTGGCATATAATCTATTTCTGCTTGAAATATAACAAATTTTTTGGAAGCTCGCTCACGGACTTTTGGACTAAGATGCGTGGTAGCGATAAAGAAGTTATTAAGTTGTAGACCAATAAGGATTCAGAGCTGACTGGCGGTTTCTGGTGCTAGATGTAATTATGAATGGTGCTTCGCATTTGTCACGTGATATTGATTAACGGTGGAGCATACAACAATGACTAAGCTATAAAAGTATGCTTTTGTAGAAGTTCCAGTGAGCGGAAATAAGTAGACACTCAGATTTTTCCAATGTCCACCTTTTGATATTGTAAGTTGCTTTCTACTCTTTCACTATGGGATGCTTACGCTTGGGACGAATAAACTTTTTCATCTCTATTATCTGGTTCTCAGTTGTTGGTCGTGAATCGTGTATCAATGTCAAGTATAGTAATTTAAAATTCTTGCGTTCAATAGAGCGCACCGATCAGATTGTGGTGCGCGCTACTTATAAGTAGTATATGACGCGAGTGTAAACGTAATGTCTGGCAGCAGAAGATGGGGGAAGATCAAGAAAGGAAGAGTGGGAACACAATGGAATTTGTATGAAACGCATGAATAGTGAGATGTCAGACGATGGATTGAAGATTTGCAAATTAACGGTTACGATATGGTTTTCCCATTTTACTGAGTAACTCTGTAATTTTCGTTAAATACAATTCGGTTGCCCTCACCTGTGTTCTCCTTCACTACAAGATCATCGTATATCTCCATAGAGAACAAATTACTTTATTATTTTGCCTTTAAAACACTTTTACGATGATTAGGTGAAAGCAATAAGATAAAGAAAACTAAGAGGCATAAATTTTATTTAATGTATTATTCGAGGCCCGGACAAACAACACAAAGACATTATGTAACAGAAACTTTACAATGTGATGAATATCGAAATTGCATTCGTGAAATAAATATATGTACTAAGAAGGAACTAAAAGCATGTATATAAAATATCTATACAAAAATACTTGTGTCATTGTATTTATAAACAAAATGAGGTTCATAATATTTACTTTTCATCGGAAGTCGTTTCCTCTAATTTAACATTATCACTGTTATCTTCCTGATTATCTTGTTCAAATTGGCCATCATCTTCATTGGGTGCTGGTTTACAATTGTCACCATCTTCATTACCATAGTCAGTTTCTGTTTCTGTATTAAACTTTGATAGCATTGAAGCCATCAGTTCAGAAACTATACCAGGTTGATGTGATTCCAATTCATTCTGTGTATCGGGAAAAATCAATAAAAAAATATCTGAACCAACCATTTATAAGATCAAAAAAATAAAATAAATGAATGCTCTCCAGTTGGTCATCATAACTAACTTCTGACACGGAGGCAAATGAACTTGCGTCTTCATATTTACAATGTAGTGAAAGGAGAAATCAACATTCAAAACAAAGGAGGTAAAGTACTACTATTGAACCTACAAGATAGAGTAGACGGCAAAATATTCCGAACCTGAGTTTCATACTAGATAACCCTTCTCAATAAGGTGTAGCTATAATTTTGACGAAACTGGTGCTTGTCAGTGGGTTTGAACCCGAGCCACATACTCTGAGACTTACTAATAAATGTGGTATTGAGTTACGCGAGCTAGTGACCAAATTGAAGCTTAGTCTATACAATTCAGTCAGCACTAAAAGAACCAGGCCGACGCAACGTTTCCCACTGCTACTCGGTGATCAATCAGAATATAGTTCACAAGAGAAAAATGTGAATTACAGAATGAGGGAGATAAAAAGTATCACCGAATATGAATTCCAACTACCTTGTAAGGCAAATGGAAAATTTGTAAATGTGATTTAGATCAAAAGTCAATCTGTCCATGGGTTGGTGCCTTGCTTTTGTCTAGATAGTCCTAGCCATTCCATTAGTGGACCTGTTGTTTAACGTATGTCACAAACCTGCCCTGGTACGGCCGAGTCCGCTCTCCCTCACAACATGCTCAAAGACGGCCACATATGTACAGCCTCTGCTAGAGAAGCCTTACTCGCTGCCTTCTTGGGGTGGTAGTGTTGTTTACGAAAATTGGATGTATGGTGCTTTAGCTGGGTTGTTTGGTATGGAGAATCTACATAGGGGAGCTGGAAAACCCTGATTCCAAACCAATGGTGTACATGAGCTCTAGGACCCTTAGGGAGCGGATAGTATATGAACCTAGTATTAGTCACTGGTTGCCATGGGACTGCATCTGCTAATGTTGCTCCACTACTTTGTGGAATAGACCTGTACGCCAAAGGTTCAGGAAATAGCTATTTAAGAAAAACACCTGCCTCGATTAGGGTATTCGGGCAGTATTCCAACCCACATAGATATTTAGGCACCCCTTTGTACAAGCAATCATGTACTTGGATAAATAAATACTATACATAAAGTGACTTTTTCGAAAATAAAGATGGACAGAACTAAAAGTGCGAGCTTAACATGTAGGTCATTGCAGCCGAACTATCTTAACATTATTAAACAGAACAAAGACAAAATAAACATCAAGTTTTTCATTGTAATATATTTCCTACTTAAATAAATTGATCATTACGATTTTCTACACACTACTATTCAACATGTTACTTACTTGCAAAGTTTCAACAATTGATTCAGTTTGATTTATTTGTTGTTGCAAAATTAACAAACTACTTTGAAGACCTTCTAAATCAGTATAGGCTTCTTCGAGTACACCTTCAATGTCTAATAGAATAAGTAAACATTTCAAAACAATATTTTAGTTAATATGATAAGAAAATTGGCAATATACGAGTGTGATACAGTCTTCGTTGACAATTATGCTGGCCAGAACTAAAGATCACTTTGGTAAGGTTTATACAACCACACATATTGAATGGTATTGTATCCTAGCTCAGCGAATAGTTTGAACTTCTGACTTTAACTATGTGTTACCAGGCAATAATTTTGTTTAAATAAAGCATTTGGGTTTGGTAAAACTGCTAGTTGTGAATACCTTCGGTAATTATTCTACTCCATTTTTGGGATATAATTATATACAGTAATTTAAGGCAAGCGTTTAGTTTATTTCTTATATGCGACTATTTTAGTTGTCCAGTAGAACACTCATCCACCATAAGCATAGGTATAGAACATATTATCAAGAACACTTATGTACATATTGCCTAGAAAGGAGTTGGAATGTTAAGATTACAGCCGATTATCGATATTTAAGCAGAGAGAGGAGTTTTACTGCTCTATCACTACCGTTGTACCTTATGACGTTGGAACTATTCTCGATTGGTTACGTGATACTGTAGTATAGATTTGTTCGCAACGATGGGGTACGTCCGAGAAATTTACCATCATTATGAAATGCTCTTGGTAGGGCGATGACATAAAGCCTCCTTCCATTGTTTCGCACCACTAATGGAGTTGGGCAAAACTGATCAAACACATCATCTTGCGTCGAATTTTCATGAGATACATTCAAAGAGTACTTCCGAAACCATGTGATGGAGGGGTATGATTAAGCTACCTAGAGAGGAACCCGCAACTCCTTTATCTGGACTCACTTTTGTTAGCTAACCACTTCAAAACGTTTGAAGTAAGGGGAATGAGATCAATCTACACAGCCCAAGAGTTAGAGGACATAAATGGTCTGAAATTTCGACCGTAATCATTTATGACGGAATACTAATCACAATAAATCGTAATTTAATTACCGAATGTCTGAAATTTGAAACGTGATTAATACATTTAGAGAAAACCAAGTCGAGTGAAATACCGTGTGAGTTTGTTCTACTTTTTTTAATGACTTGATAGAAATGGATTTTATTCGGCCTTGTAATAGTTCTTTATTTGACATAATTTCATACTGAAAACAATTTACAAATTGGTTTACTCATCATGCAACAAAGACGATTATTCATCATTTAAATAGAATTTTCTGAATATTTGAAGAAAATAATAACTATATGGAGGTGAATTACCTTCATTGGTTTTGATAAATTCTTTCATACATGTTGCTTGTAATTCAGCTTCCGATTCCAGTCTAGCTACACGATCAGTTTGATTGACTCTGCCTAATTCTTCATTAGCATTTAACAAGTGTCTAATCCGTGACATTAATGATTTTCCCATTGGACTAAAAATGAGCATAAAAAAATAAATATATATGCCGTTTAGTATATATTACAAATCATCTATTCGATATCATGATTCCTTAGACTAATAAGTCCAGTGCGTAATTAGAATCACATCAATACGTGACATTGAAAAGTCTGATATGAAATCTCTATTGAGTACAGACACATTCCAGACTTGACAGACTAAACGTGTGTACAGGAAAGAGGAAGAGAATGTAGATATTATTAACGAATGAGCGAATAATGGTAAAATGTATGAGTATATCTTTTCCAGATACATATATATTCAATGGCAAAGAGGAATAAATAATAGCAGATAGTATACGACCGGATTATTTATTACAAGCCTTGACTTTGCTGTATAACTGCATTAAGCCATGTTTGTCTTTATTTAGTTTGATCAGTCCCAATAAACAATTCCATGATGATGTGGTTCATTTGCCCCATACAGACATGTGTATACGACTTTCAGTCACAATTTAAGTGTGAGAGTTGGTGATTCTAGTCGACTGACCAAAGTACGTTCAGTTTGACAGATAAATTGGTTAGGATTCAGTATTATTTAAATGACTGTACAATATAACGAAGCGTATATATTCGATAAATTACAAGGTGCAATTATTGTGTAGAAATAAAATTCCATATTATTCAGCTAGTTAAATCATAATGATGTGTAAATGAAGAATTATTGAACCTATCCTAATACTTGGAAGATCGACTTCGTAACAAATGAACAGTATTTCTCCACAAGAGTTTTATGAATTAAAATAATGAAAAATAGGTGGACTGTATGTTTACCGGAACTCATAAATTAGGTAAGATGATAGAATTTGTAAATTTTTGACTAAACCGTGAATAGTGAATCAGTTTTATATTTCCCTTAAATAACAATAATGTTTTCAAGTCAATGTCATGAAATATGAAATTACCAATGATGTGTGTTGATTAAAACAATTAAATCTTCTTGTGCATCATGATGTTATTCATCGTAGATTAGATGTGTAGTTTTCAACCTATTGTTTTACCATTTAGTTATCTGAATTTTTTAACATACTGTGTTACTTTACTGAGCAGTCAGTACAAAACATGAAGTTGAAACAGTCCAATAGTAAATAAAAATTCAACAAAGCGGTATATTCAGTGAAGTTCAATCATTAATAAAATATTTATTACATTCAGACTTACGAAAAAAAATTAAAAAAAATAACAAATTTGTGAAAATACACTAAAGATACAATTCAGACGTTTGGTATTTATCTATATAAACCGATACATCAACACAAACAGGTCAAAATATTGTAACTTTAACAAAAAAAAACTGATACACTTGAGCAAAACATTCAAAAAAAAGTCTACAACACAATCAGCTTGTTTGACAAATTAAAGAAATGCAATGAGTAGAGTGAGTTTATCAGAACTTATGAGATATAACGATATATATAATATATTCGAAACAATCTGATCACTGGTTAACTTATTAACGCCGATATACATGGAAAATAAAGGTTAACTGGATAAATTGACAGACAGGCGAAAAAAAAATAAACATAATGAGGAAATAATGCACAGTAGGTCACATTATTCTGTGATGGTTACATTCAGAAAAAAGATTTACACGATGTAATATCACTTTAAAACAAACGTCATAAAGCATTCAGACAAAAAAAAATTTCTAGGCACATAAGTTCAATTCATATGAGAAAAACGTTCATTGCATGTATCAGATGAACTACACGCAGAGCACTTGTACAGGCTCACACAACAAGAGTCGCACTGATGCTGTCTAAATGAACATCAAAAGAACTTTTGGAATGAGAATCTCATAGACCCAGGATAGACAAGGCATCTTTCAAGACAAAGAAGTAGGGCATTACACTGAATGTCATCCGGTGCTATGCGCCCACCAACGATAACAATAAACACGATAAACATCTATTCTGCGACAAGCTGCAGTCGATCGTTGAGAAGTGGCCAACAAAGGATGTATATATTCTGATGAAAGACCTAAACACTAAGGTTATATTGGACAAAATTGCATATGAAAACAAAATGGGACAAAACGGACTGAGAGAAAGAAACTAGTCATACAGCATTACAAAAGTTAAACACGGTGCAAGAGTAGAAAACATGAAACAACTATGTGGTACAACGGAGGAGCTCGTTGGCCAGTACGGTAAACCAGAACGAGCGGTCGAGAACAAGGAAGGCAAGCCAACCACTGACACTGAAGAACAGCAAAACAGGTGGGTAGCCCATGTCGAACAACTCTTGGATAGACCAGCCTCACTAAACCCACTCCACATAGAATCAACACCTACGGACGTCCCAATCAATGTTGACCCACCAACAATTCGAGAGATGATCATGACCATCAAACAAACCATCACGAGCGGCAAAGCAACAATATCAGACAACATACCAAATAAATCACTGAAAGCAGACATAGCAGTAACTGCAAAGATTCTCCATACTCTCTTCAACAAGATTTAGGAGGAAGAACAAGTACCAACAGATTAGAAAGAATATTCACCACGATAACCTAGACAGTGTCAGAATTACAGAGGAATCACTCTACTCTCAACACCAGGAAAGCTCTTCACCAGTGTCGTTGAATCGAGAAAAAGGTTCATCAGACAACCAGCTTCGGCATCGGCAGGCCAGATTCCGTAAAGATCGATCATATATTGACCAAACTGAGACACTACGGATCGTTCCGGAACAACCAGTTGAGTGGAATTCACCACTGCATTTCAGCTTCCTTGACTATGAGAAAGTATTTAGTAGTATGGACAGGATGACACTATGATGTGTCTGAGAAGATAGTCAACATCATTCGCAATCCTTATGATGGACTATACGGTAAGATCATGCATGGAGGACAGCTAACAGACTCGTCCCAAGTGAAGGCCGGTGTCACGCAAGGTTGCTTACTCTCACCCTTTCTATTCCTCTTGGTGGTCAACTAGATTATGAAGACGTCAACATCTGAGGAGAAGGGATATGGTAGACAGTTTGGATGCAGAGGTGCAGACTGAACCTCGCAGATGTTTCGCTCTTCTATCCCACACATACCAGAAAATACAGGAGAAGACGGCCAGTGTAACAGTAGTGCGGAAAAAGCAAGAACCTTAGATACAACACAATATACACCAAACAATTCAAACTTCACAGAGAAGCTTTGTAGAGGTGGAAACTTATACATGCCTGGAAGGCATCATTGATAAACAAGTCAGATTACATCCAATGTGACGGCGCAGATCAGCATAGGAAGGGTAACATTTTTGCAATTGAAGAACATGTAGAACTCAAAACAACTGTCAACCCACAGTGAAGTCCGAATTTCAATACAAACGTCACGACATTTCTGTAGTATACAGTGGAAACTAGGAGAACTGCGAACACCATCATTCGAAAGATACAGATATTTATAAACAGTTGCCTACGCAAGATAATGCGGATCGGTTGGTCAGATACAATCAGCAACAACCTACTGTGGGAGAGAACGAACTAGATACGAGCGGAGGAAGAAATCAGGAACAAGCGATAGAAGCGGATAGGAGAACACTGAGTAAAGCACCCAAAGAATAAATAGCAATTGTTAGCAACTGGAAAGGAGATGTCAGGACAGAGTTGGTTAGAGGTTGCTGGTTCGCCTCCTATGCTCCATTAGAGACATAAACGGTACAGGTGTAAATATTGTTATCAATAACGAGACACGAGCATGTAACTAATCATAATCTGAAGACTTTGTTTGGATGCAAGGTTTAGAAAGTGAAAATGTACGTATAGTGAGGAAATCTTCATACGATAAAGCAACGGACAAAACAGTCATATACTCCAGACATCCAAAAATAAAATGATTAAATTTTTGAAATGAAGAATACAATCTTATCTCTAATAATTAAAGATATATCGATGATACAAGTCATTCAATGATGATAAGATTTGAGATCAAAAGCATAACTAAACAGAAAAAAAACAATGAATGTTATTGGAATTGATTTTTAGGCTGACTTAAAGTAGTAATATTATTATGATTATTATTAACAATAATATGTATTGGTATTTATTTACCTTTCTGGTGAAAATCTCCATGCTAATATATCATCATTACTTTGTCGATATTTATTTTGTGCTTCCTTGGTTGCTTCATGTAATTTTTTATAGACAAGATTCATTGACGGTTCAAAGAAATGTTTCAATATGATTAATGAACTAACATCGATACCGCTTGAATTCGATGAATGAGCAGATGTGGTTGATGGATGCATTTTACTCAATTTGGCTCTTTTAGCAGGCTTTAATTTTTTATAAAATGTAAATATGAATGAATGAACAGTTAACGTTATTGTTTATAGTTAGTTGCATTGGACAATACAATCAAAGACATATAGAGTAGATTATTTAAAAATCATATTCAAATCGGTCTTTATTATTATTCTCTGAAATTCATCTTGTTTTTTTATGTACTACTTTGTGCTACTGATCAATTAAAAGTAGTTTGAGTTGCCTTAACCTGATTTTACGAACAGTACAGCTATGTTTGAAAGATTTGCTCGTCCTATCCATTCATAAGTGTGTTTAGATGCGTTGGTCTATTGGTCTGATAGCAATCCTTTTACTCAGTTCAGTCTTTTTGAGAATGATACTCTGCAAAATGTTTGCCAGGAACAGTATTTTCACTTAGAAAAACCATGAGACTATTATATATACTATAGATTACCGTCTAGCAGTTAGTGTTTGAATTTTAATCATCGAATATAGAAATTACGTAACTAACCCAATCTACCAGATTTGGGTGGCCATGATGGCTCAGTCAGCTGAAACGTAGGTCTTGGTACATACGTACATCAGTTCGAAGCGCTGCAGCACATACAACGCAGAACTTCGTACGTAAGTACATCAGTTCAGGTTGCTATACCACATTAGCACACAGACGCAACTGTCAGTTCAAATCCAAGAGTCACAGCGATAGTAGAATTATTAGCAGCAACGGAGAAGATTAGGGAGCGAAGATATGATTCGATAAGTAAATTCAGTCAGATAAATTTAGAAGGAGAAAGGTAGAGATGATGAGGAATTCAGAAGGTTAGAATTTGATAGAATACAAAGAGTGGATGCACCTGCGCCATTGCAAACGGTTTTGAGCCATGTCATTCAGAGTCTCTAACCATCGGTGACTATCGTCTCGCTGACCCCAACCAGGTAGCTTACATCTACCAACATGACTCAGTACACTTGTCCGTGACTTCATGCATTTGTGCCATGCTTTGGTCTGGCCACCCCTAGCTTTCTTCCACTCTAATCCTACACTATAAAACATAGCTCGTCGCGCCAGTCGGTGGTTAGCCATACGTAACACATGTCCAAACCACCTCAACTGATGAAGTTTCACCACTCCATCTATTGATTTGCCATCCCTACCTAGAACCCATTTCCCAACGACAGCATTGCTTATACGGTTGTCCCATGATACACAAGAATGCTTCGGAGACATCGACGACCGAAGACTAGTAACCTACGAAAGTCCTCTACTCTTAACAGACGGAGCGAACTGATGCACAGTACACTCATCCTTTATTCAGCAAACGGACATCTTGCCTGCGCCATAAGTCACGCAGGTTGGCAGAAGCCAATCGAGATTTCTGTATCCGAGCTGAGATTTCGTCAGTCACCAGGCCACTAGCGCTGATGAGACTCCCAAGATAAGTGAAGCGGTCTACACGTTCGACTACTTCACTCCCTATCACTAGTTCAGGGGCCAATGAATCCCAGTCTTGAAGCAACATTTTGCATTTCGAGGAGGAAAACCGCATGCCGAACATGCTTGCATTGTTGCTTAGAGTAGTCAGAAGACTCTGCATTTTGTCAGACTCTTCACCAAATAAAACTATGTCATCGGCATATTCTAGGTCAGTGAGCAATTTTCCTGGTAGAAAGTCGACTCATGAAAATTCAGACGAGGATAAGGTTACATCTAGCAGCATGTCTATGATAAAAGTAAACAAAAATGGGGAAAGTGGACATCCCTGACGGACACCACTTGAAGTAAAGAATGCCGGTGACATTTCGCCTTAAGCTCTCACTCGACCAGTGGTGTTCGAGTAGAGAGCTTGTATAAGGATAATGTACTTTTCTGGTACACCTTTCAATCGCAGACACAGCCACAGAAACTCACGATCAACAGAGTCGAATGCCGCCTTAAGGTCGAGAAGTACTACTATTGTGGGTCATCTGAACATGTGTCTTTGTTCTAAGACCTGACGTAGTGTAAATATCTGGTCTACACAACCACGTCCAGGTCGAAAACAAGCCTGGTTTTCTTTAGTCTGCTCTTCACGAGCTCTACTTAGGCGTCTAAGGATAACTGAGGCTAACAGTTTAGAAACTATGTTAATTAGACTTATTCCCCTGTGATTGTCACAAGACTTTTTATAAATTGGGACAATCAGGGATTGAGACCAGTCGGATGGGATTACGTCCAGTTCCCAGATTCTACCTAAGATTTCAGTCAATCTAGCTGCTAAAGCTGGACCACCATCCTTAATCATCTTAGGGGTAAGCCTATCAGGACCTGCAGCTCGCCTTCGCTTCAGATTTCCTATAGCCTTTTCAACTTCATAACGGTTCGGAGGGCTTACGTCGACTTGCCATTCAGGATGACTGGAGATCGTGGGTAACTGAAGTGTGGCTGAAGGCCAGTTGAACTGATCCCTAAAGTGTTCTGCCCATCGATCCAGTCTCTTGGATTGAGAATAAATAGTAGTCCCATCATTTTCTGAGATAGTCTCACTTACAGTAGGATTCCCAATAACAGTTTCCTTGACAAGTCGGAAAAGTTGTCTACTGTTGCCTATCGCCGCTGCCTTTTCCATCGTTGTGCTTTCGCCACCCACCACTGTTCACGGTCGTTACGTAGGCTTTTAATCAGCCTGCACTTAAGCTGACTTCGTTATTCATCATCTTCAGAGCCACGTAGGATGAGTTTTCGAGCATCAATCAGTTCGGTGGATACAACTGAGATCCACGGCTTCATTCTAACCTTGTGGTTAACCCTACTAGCAGATATCACTGCTGTTTCCACAGCCTTTTTGATATCATTCCAACCTGCTTCCGGATGGGGATCACTTGCATGGTTGCCTAATTCTCTTTCTAGTTGTTCCTGAAATATATTCTCCGCCTTATTATCATTAAGTAAAACCCTAAGAAGCTTTCTTACGGTGTCTTACCTACGTCCAATAAGCCTCAAACAGATACGAGCTCGCACTAGAGCATGATCTGAATCCAAACATGTGCCCCAGAATGAGCGACAGTCCTCTATCGAACCTCTCCATCGGTGGCTGATTGCGATGTGATCTAGTTGGGTCCAACGTTGAGACGACTTCGGGTGTCGCCAGGTCAAAAGATGTTTTTCCTTATGCCTAAAGTTATTGTTTGCTAGGATTAGGCGGTTGTCTGAGCATACTTGCAACAGACGGTCGCCATTGTCTGTTCTCTTAGCCGCGACACCATAACATCCACCTAGGTGTCTTTCCTGCTCACTTAGTCTACCTACCTGAGCATTAAAGTCACCATCCACCATTACTATATCAGAGTTCTGCCCTACAAATCAATGCTATACCTACACCAGCAAGACCCCGGGAAGCAGCATCAGGGCTACCGGATACACGAAGAGTAAATCGGGATGCTTCTTTGTTCTGAAAAGGCGAAATCAGATTGACTTTACTAGGATCCTGTATGCGCGTTTCCGAGAGGCAGCATACATCGATGGCACGAGATTCTAAAATTCTAGCTAACGAAGCCTGTTGCCCTACTTGACATAATGTACGTACATTAAATACTCCAACATATAGTCTATAACGGGTTTCAGGAGACCAGAAATGAAGTTTCGTGAACTCGCATCGTTTGCATTAGCTGTGCAGTGAGCTGAAGGAATGCGACCAGAGTTAGTCGTAGAGATAAGAGATATTACGGGGTGTATGAAGGATTTGATTTTGACCAATTCAGTCTCGTGCGCTGTTACGGGTATGAGGGCGGTTGTTACTTCCCGGCTGCCCACACCGTGGAAGTTTGTTTCTTGAGGGACTTGAAAAGGAAGGTAGATTAGGGTTGGTCTTAACGACCTGGGAGCATGACCACAGAGTCCAAGGGACAACTGCTTGAGGCCGGTCACACACGGCCTTTTTATGAAGGGTTTTTTGAGTATTAGCTCCGCTCTTGAAAGCCCTTAGTGGGCATCCTTACCGACGGAGACGGAGATTCGTGAGGTAGGGTGAGTTGTGACATTTTTAGGGTCGACATTTTCTAACCTTTCCTTCCTTTTGAGAAGGCAGCATCGCTGCAGATGCTGGTTGTCCGAGGAGAACACCTTACTGCTGTCGCACCCCTCTGCAGTCAGCAGTACGACTTCGCCCTCAGACCTTGAGTAGCTGCTTTTAGTCTCATCGTTCTCCAATCGACCTGCCTGGCATGGTAGAACCTTCAGGAACATAAGTTCCAGCCAATATAGCTCGATTGAGTCATCATGATAGGCAAGCCCGACCACCACGTCAAGGTAGCAGCTTCGGTCGGGAGTTCGAAGTGCTATGCCAAATCAAAACAGGTGAGATTGAGCTATCAATTCAAACCCCGTAGTGCTGGAGGTTGTAGTAGTATGAGCGATAATCGAAAATATTAGGGATCGAAGATGTGATTCCAGAAGTATATCCCAGTGACATAAATTTAGAGAGAAAAAACGTCATGTGGAATTCAGTTTAGAACTCGTGAATGGAGGCATACGCACCATTGCAAACGATTATGAACAGTATCACTCAGTCTCTAACCATCGGTTACCACTGTATCACGGACCCCGACCATGTAGCCTACAGCTACTAACATGGCTTGATCCAGTTGTCAGTGCATTGTTTTAGTTAGGCCACTCCAAGCTTTCTTCTAGCCTACTCCTACACTAGGCAGCACCGCTGGTCGAAGTAGTCCGTGGTAAGGCATATGCCAGGTTAATTCACTAGTCAAATTCGGCTTAAAGTCTGTTTTGGTTGACTAAGTTGAAAGAAGATATACAAAAAGACAGCAACATATCCAATCGAAGGGTAACATTTGCTGTTGACAATTCTACAAATAAAATCAGATTTTGTATTAAAAACAAAACTGTTTATGGTGCTGCTTTGTTATCTGAGCTGGATGGTTTGGTTGTGGAGCTTTCATCGTTTTTCGAACATCATCAGTACAAACTTCAAGTGGAAGTTAGGTATTAGGATTTCTCCACATTTGATTCATAGCTAGTCCTGCCGAGCTAGATTTTGATTGGTCATTGGTGACCTTTAATCCGGTGTCATCTGCTTTCTTAATTGGATTAAATCTTCCTTTGGTGTGATTCTTGGTCCTAAATTCATTCATAATTTTTTCCGATCGGTTGATAAATCGGTGTGTTTATTGATTATTAATAAAAGCTCCATGGTCAAAACATCCAGCTTACTGGACGAAGCTCCACCATAATTATCCACCTGAGCTACAGATTTACTTCACCATCACAAAACACTGTATAATAACTCAGTTAGTTAGAATATACTACATAATTTATGTCTAATCACTTCAACGGTATGCGATATGATATTGTTGACAGTCTATATTAAACCACATGAGAATACGATTAAAATCGATGATTTTATTGTTTCAATTTCTAAAATTAATGTTGATCTGCATTTCACTCAATGAAAACGAGTGAAATATGCCTCTAAGTACGGATGCAAACGTATAATGCTGAAACATAAAAACATTAGTTAAAAAACTCACCAATATATATTCCATTTGAGCTAAACTAAAGTCTGCATTAATATAACGCGCTGAATATGATTCCAATTGTTCGTGATATTTCTTTTCAGCTGCATAGATTTGATTTGCTAGATATTTATTTGTATATAAATCAAAAACAGGAAGACTAATAAACATACTAAGATTCAGCTTTTCTTCATCTAACAATCTGAGTTTTTCTTCAAGACTTCGTATTGTGCTATCTTTATTCTCATCTCTAATAGTTTTTGAAGGGGATAGAGGAAAGATTATTAAAGTAATCATACGCATTGTCCAGACTATTCATTTCTGAATTATACTTGTTGTCTACAGGTGACTTGATCTCTGTTGTATGATCTATCATAATTGTTCCTGCCTAAAACAAAACTCAAGATAAATAAATGCTTAAAGACTGACAGTGGTTATTTTCAATGTCGCTTTGCAATAAGTCATTAAGTACTACACTTAATTTTTTAGTAGAATGATGTATTTATGGTAGCTACATAACATCATCCCAGGTATTTTTATCTGCTTTAAACACTAATGGTGTGGTGTGTGCTACTTACACGAACGATATGAGTAGTATAAGAAGGGACGTGAAGGAAGAAATCTCACGGTCACAAGAGGAAAACGGAAAGCAAATGGAGCAAAAGCAAGAAGTAAATGGAGTACCGATAGGAAGTAAAGGAAGCAACAGCAGGAATGGAACAAGGCTGGAGCGTTGGAAGTCAGGACTCAAAGATGGTGTGCAAATAGAGCGTTCAATGTAATGTTTTCGTTTTCAATTGACTAAGAGTGTAAATTTGCTAAATACAATCTATCGCGCCTGCCTCAGTCTTCTCAATGGGAAGGCATGCCTGACCTAAAATCTTAGTCATACCGGGTGACATTGCGAACTTGATTATATCATGGTGCAGATGTACTCCAAGAATATTAAGTGAGATTGTTGCATTGTTTTCCTAAATACTTTCAGCACGCATTTAATCTAGAGAGAAGATGAATGCTTCCTGATTGAACTATCTGAGGACAGAAACGTACATAAAAGTTCTCAAAGCAACAACTATCTCGAATATATACTTACTGGAAACCACTAAGCAATCATCTTAATTGGTGTTAAAATTACACAACAACGAATGGGAAGTGATGAAATCCCAACCTCAGAATGAAAAAGAATTAATAAAATTACGGGCCTGTCAGTAGTGACAGCAGGAAATGACACTAGAGGGATTAAGTTACCATATAAAATAACAGTATATATGAAACTGACTACATCCTATCCCGAGATTGAAGACTTATTATGCAGTAATAAATAGAACCTATCTTTACTTTCTGTGAGAATGATCAGTTATTTTTCATATGGTTCAGCGATTTATTCTTCCCAACTGCATCTTAAATTTATGGCATTAAAACCACTACTTGGAACAAGTTTAGTAAATTCGTCAATTTTGTAGGTTTGTTAAATGAGTACATCACACTTCAATAAATGTTCACGTAACTAGTTCGGATATTTTGCCATCAGTAGGAATGTTTCCTTCTTGAGATATAACCTGATAAATTTGGATAACAAACCAAACACTGCGATTATATAGTAATTGCTGATAAAATAAGCTTCGCTGATATAACTTTGTAATGAAAGTTAACTTCACAGTTGAAGAACAGCTTTTTTGCCTGTTAACGAAAAGGTCACACCATTGAGAAAGCGTATATTTATATAGATATATTTATTTATAATAACAAACAGTGAAATGATACATGTGATCTGGTGAATTGTAAGGATAAGATGTATGACAAATAAACCTAAGAAATTATCAAATATCAATGAGATAGTGACAACACTACTTCACATCCTTTAAAATCCGTGAAGTTCAGATATGGTTTCAAAATAAGGACATAAGAAGATAAACAGATTTCGGTCATAATGCATAATTGTGCATGTAGAAAAAAGCTATTTTACATAGATTATTTACAAAATATAACAGTAAAACAATTAATGTATTTTACAAAAACGAGCGATGACCAAAAGGTGAATTCAGAAACAACAATACTCTTATTCAATCGTTTTCAACGGTCATTGGAAAAGATAAACTCTCCATCAGACCATCTACCTTTTCTTGAAGTTTACTTAGAATATCTGTATCAATAAACAAATGATAATCATCTAAATCCGTATGTACGAAATTCTTGCCCAAGACCAAATTTTCAGCTAAATGTAGCAAAAACTGTTTCATAGCAGAATCACTGAATGATAATCAATTATTTAATGGTAACAATTAATATTCACACTACCATTTGACGAGAATTCCTTTATGAACATTAACCATTGCTGAGAACGTGAGTTCGAGCTATTTAGGCTGAAGGTAGAGTTAACATACAAGAATGTTAGAAACCAATAAAAAAAAAGCAAAACTGACCAATTGATCTTTAATTAACTGACTCACCAAGTACTTGGGTATGAGCCACATAAGCGGGATGGTTAATGGTATTATATAGTTACTAAAACAAAAGTCGGCGAGGAGAAGCTTAAACCTTAGACTGGAAGTAGAACACCAGAACTACCATCCGCTACAATAGTGAAGACATCAGCCTCTCAACAAAATTATATACAGCAATGAAAATAATGTAAAATTTGAGTCAGTAGGCCTAGGTAGAATCGGTGAAGCATACTTACTGCTTATATCTAATAAATTTATTTGAGGCAAAATGAAATCAGGCACTGGTGAGAAACTATGAGGTAATTTTAAATACTTGCAGAGTTTAAATTATAATGAGAAGTGAGAAGCTTTAAGATATGCAAAAGTTAAAGGCACAAAAATATTTTTGTTGATTATGATACAATCACGTTAAATTTATAAACTGAAAACATCACAACAGTGGTGACCGAATACAATATACAACTTAACATTGATGCCAGGCTACATAAATTAAAAAGCGCAAGCATGAGACAATCGTATTTCTCTTTAATGAAAACAATGTACTGTAATGGTCTGACAGGAGTAAAGAAAAAAAGGATAATAAGCAAACGTTATAGGTAAGTGAAAAGAGATCTACACTAAAAACGATCATGATAAAGTGACAAAATAATAGCAACTGTTAAAAACTGAACGATACTCGAGAAAACGTGCTGATCGAAAGCGTCGAAAATTGAGTTCACTCAAAAAAGTCGTCCTTCAGATTGTTAGGCGTCATTTAGATATCTTTTAGATTTATTGATATCCGATAACGGTAATTCAATCCACTTTGTAGAATGTTTTCCGTCCAGTGGGTGCAAAGAAAACATGAATACTTGAAGTAGGACATCAGGTATTATTAAGATGCTTAAACTGATGGTCGCTGCAAGGACGCCAATGTGAGGGTGGTCCGCAAGAGGCATCAGGTCGGACAATGCCTAACTGCATTATATCCGAGCCTCGAGTAAGAACCGATGAGTTTGTGTCAGACTTAAATAACTGACTTTTAGTAAATATTTGATGCAGCAGTGTTTAACATTATCCTTGTGGTGCTTTGATTTTAGAATTTCCGGACACTGCTAGGTGATCACACCAATATCATCATCTGAAGAGACGTCGACCTCAATGCTACATGTGTAATCTAAGAAATAGCATGAACATGTAGATGCATGCCGTTCATAACATTAAATAGTGGGTTACAAGCCCTAGATGAAACTACATCGTAAGTAATAGGACTAAAATCAGCTACCATAAACACAACTAAAGTGACGTCGAACACAACGGTCCAGAAAGAGGCAGTCCTCCAAAAGTCTTATCCGATTTAAAGATCAGTTACTGCTCATAATTATGGGTCTCTGAGTATTACTGTAATAATAATGACTACCACTCCTGTCTACCAGGAGGTAAGAACCTTATGTTCAGTAAACAAAATGAGCGAATAAAAAGTTGACCAGTAACAACTGTTGCCATGACCCTCTGTCCAAGGCGCTTCCTAAAAAAAGAACTTTTTAATATATTTGCAAGTGACTCTACACTTGCATTTTAACCGTACTTTTGATCATGACCATAGATGAATTCAGTCGCAAGGTAGCACCTGACACGCACCTTAGAAATTCGGTAACTGTTAACATTGTTACTATTACTATGGAATTTACCCTGTAGACAAACGAAAAATCGGCCCCCCTACGTCAGTGAAAACGACTTGTCTCGAGAGTCTTATAAGAGTCAACCGCTAGTTCCTTTTTAGTGATACAAACAATTTAATTATTTACTCCAAATATAGGATCCTATATTTAGATTATGGACACCTGACGTATGTTTTTAACAACGATAATGACCAGTATTCTAACTTGTTCCAGGTTTAGTTTGATATTTACTGAATAAAGATGTGGGAAATATCTTTACTGGGTATACTGAATCACTACTAAGATTTAAATACTAGCTTTTGGAAAAGTATTTGCTAAAGTCTGAAAGATTGCACAGATATGTAAATTGCAGAAAAAAAGGAGCTTCCAGTTGCTTTTTTAGGGTTTGAGACATCCCCAAATAGAACGTGTTTGTCAATATACACCGATTACGGAAGCTAACAAGATATAACCTATGTCACGGTTCGCATCTAGCCAAAGGCTACCTTGTATAATAGAGGACCATGAAAATTTGCGTGTAAGGAGAGAACTGGATATGAGAACAAAACATGTGAGCACACGAACCAACAAACGATAAATGCACATAAAGTAGAGTCACTACACGTCTACCAAAAATTGCAATTAACAACAAACACTGGTTACGAAAACTTACACTTCGGAGAACCTGGATAGTACACGTAAAGATAGTGAAAACAGAGAATCGCAAAACCTAACAATTTTAAATCTACTAACAAAGTCACTCAACAACAATACGATTAACCAGCCACTAAGCGACCAATATTCAATATCCAATATCCAATTTCTACAATTTCTACACCAAAATCGAATATCTTTTTCAACAGCGAGTATAAGCCAATCGATTTATATGCGTTCAATTCTTGTTGTTTTGGTAAGGCTCCAAGTATTCGGCTTTGTCCGATGGATGGTGGTCTAGCCCCTCGTCTGCACTAGTTATAATCAGTTGGTAAATGGTTGTGAGTTTGTATGTCCCGTGATTTGAATGAATACGTTTGTTTCAAGGCAGTAGGGTTTCTGGATACCAGCAGCTATCACATTACCAGACCGGACACCAGTTAGTTGCAGTGTGTAGAATAATGGGGATAAAATTCTAATGCTTATAAGAAGAGGATTTCTCTGGTTATCAAACCAAGATCGCTCTCTGAGGAGACATTAGGGAGTGGACTTCCATTAAGCGTGAGAATCGCTTGCGTGATGTGGGGCAGAATATACGTAACATGACACTTCGGTTGGTTTAGTTTGAAACCGTTTTTCACTGCCCATTCCTCAATGGATGTAAAGTCCTTTAGAAGCTCACTCGAATCCTCTTAACCTCTAATGGACCTTTAGATCTGCGCATGGTCTCCGGAAATCATTGCCGGTGAGCTAACTGTGTTTGACAGGTTGTTAATAAATATCAGGTACAGAGGTGGGCCTAAGATGATCCCCTGTGAAACTCCCGATGTGGATATTCTCCAGCTCACCTTGGTACGAAACTTTCTATTCTCAAGGTCGTTTCTGAGCAATAAAGCGTGAAGTACTGTGTTGAAGGCTTTTTCGGAGTCGAAATCACTACGTGCACCACCATTTTGTAGTTTTAGTAGGATATCCAGCTGTCCTATGCTGTGAGAAGATTAGATGGGCACGTTCTAACTTCCCGAAACTCCTGTTCATCTTCATGCAGTGTTTTGTTCTTGTACTCCCTCACTTGTTCGTTTACCAGCCCTTCCATTACCTTTGAAAGTATTGGTAGTGGTGTGCCTGGTCTGTAACATTCTGGGTCCTTCCTATCTCCGCCTTTGTGGATTGGAGATAGAGCAGCTTGTTTTTATTGAGCTCAGAGATGGTGTGAATCCAGTGAATGCCTGAACAGGCCACATATCGGTGAACAGAGGGCTTCTGTACATTGTTTCAAGACTATGGGGCGAATTTTTTCACAACCTGGTAACTTACATGGGTGTGAGGACTTGAGTTTTCTTAGTACTAAGTCAGGAGTGAAATGGATTTTCTCTAAGCCGTCAGCTAGTACTGGGTTTACGTAATACTCTGAACATGAGGGTGCCTGGTTTAACTGCTCAGTAAAGTTAGTGTTGAAGATCTCAGACATCTCTAGGTTGGTGAGGTCTTCTCCGTTCAGTCCTTTGAGGGAAAACATCCTTGATCAGTAGGTTTTCTTTTGGACATGAACTTAAACAGATGCTTGTGGTTTGCCTGTATTTTGGCAGCTAGCTTCATCTGGAGTTGTATTCTATCACTTCGAACTAAGGTCTGTTTCTCAATGCAAAGTAATAACTGCGATCGAAGTCCTTCAAGGAGACCTCCCACTTGTGCCAAGCTCTCCTGTTCGCCTGTAGCAAGAATTCAGTGCCGCGCCTAACCCAAGTGTGGTGTGACTGAGGTACATTGCTAAGGGAAGCATTTTGGATGGTATATCTCTCTGTTTTCCGGTGATCATCTACTGCCAGCGTCCACCCCTCCCGTGACCATGGAGCATGTAGGAGGACCTCTCTCATACGCGTATAGTTTAACCTAGTGTAGCAAAGATATGGCTCGTTTTCGTCCTGTGTGAATGTTTCGTTTATGACCATGTTAAACAAGACTTTGCCGTGATTACTCCTATTTATAGGTGTATGCACGTGAACATCCTCGACCGGGAGCTGATCATTTGTTAAAAAATAGTGCAAGTTTGAGGACTTTCTTTCTTTAGTCCATCTTGTGGCACTGCATACAAGCTTAGTAAGCCCAGAGCGGCTAATGGCTGCGCCAAGTCATCTTTGGAATCAACCATTAGGAGTTGTACCCTGATTGCTGAGATTTAGAGATGAGGTATCGAAATCTCCAGCCTAAAATATTTGATCAAACCACAGGAGTGGTAGCTGCAGCATTGCCTTAATCAGTTTGTCTTTCTAAGCCTTAGTACCTGGAGGGTTCGGTAAATCCCTCCAATCAAGTATTTTATGCCTTTTGTGTGGAAACAACGCTATCATGATCCTGTCACCTCAGTTAGTTGGGTGTCGTATAGCCGCTCAGCTTTTAAGTGGCTGTTTTTATATATAACCACTATGCCTCCAGTTCCGTGTACCCTATCGCTTCGAAGTGTTATGATTTGCAAGCTCGCTTCTTCGTCTGCAATGTCAGGGGATAGCCATATTTCAGTTAGGATTATGATCTTCAGATCCATCTGAGAGCACGTATTCCTGATTTCTAACAGCTTAACCCTTAGTCTTTTAATTCGCTATAGAGGCACTTTGTAGTTTTTCTCAGCACCTAGTGCACCTCTGCAGTAACAGTCGTTGTCGGATTTTCAAATAAGCTGTTCAAACCGAGGAAGCCGGTTCTGCGGGAACTGGCCTCTGCAGGTCTTTGCCTGTGCAATGAGTTCAAACGGCGAGGCTATTATCTTCGTGACTTGTGCCAGGTGTTGTTGATTGAGTCCAACTGTCAGTTTTGTGCCTTTAATATGGCCTCCCTGCTGTTACCTCACAAATCTAAGTCGGCTTTCGCAACACCTAATGTGGCTAGACAGGTCGCTCTTAGAACTGCACCCAGCTTGGATCGCCTCAGTCAGGTCTTCTAGGTTCCTGAATGTCACAGCTACCAGACGTGGTGACATAATGCATGTGAGATGTGACGGGCAGGCCAGTCTAGCATTGCAAAGAGCAATTGTTGTGTGAAGGCCTAGGCTACGAAATAGCCATCGCCACTATTGGACATCATGTACAGGATCATCGTCCAAGCTACCACCAGCGCTGTGAACTACCATAGTGATCTGCTCTTGGATGCCTGGTGTTGTCCTGGCTGCCGCTCGCATCGACCGCAGTTTATCGTGCCTGATGAGAATTGGTGAGGAAAAATTAACATATGGTCTTTGGGATGAGAGGAGGATGTCTTCGGCAAGTTGTGCCGAGTCTAGAGTTAACGTCATTGGAGAAGCTTTCCCCTTCGAGACTTTCTGGCCTCTGAAATGGAGCAATATTTTATCTGGGGTATTGCACATTCCGATGACTGAGCAGTTTTATCCCACTGCTTTTTATCAAAGGCATCCTCACCTTCAGGTAAGCTACCTTACGACACTGTGATATTAAAACAATAAGTGAATTTAATCTGTCGACCCTGTCCTTGAGTGGTAGCGATTTGTGGGTTGAGGTGCTGCCATTCCCCTTCTTCACATTCACCCACTGTTCTGTATTGTTAACAGATACTGGGGGATTAATAATAACCTGATCACCTGTTTCACTGGTTTAGTGTCATGCTATTTCGGTTTGACCGTTAGGACGTTTGAGCTGATTTTGGGTAGGTCCTTTGGCTTCGCCAATCCCTCAGATACTCTACGCCGTGGGCAGGGTTAACTAGGCATGAACGCTTAGTACTCTTTAGGTATTGTAGTGTCGCAGTGACAGTGGACTAATGTACTACAGAAATTGCATTCAACTGAAGAGTCACTGATTTTGACTGGCAGTGAGCAGGCGAAACAGTCATCCTTAAGCGATTTCTGCACGACAGATTGTGTGCGTTCAATCCGCGAGATTGTGATCTTAGTATCTAGTGCTGCGGGTTGTTGATTGAGGTCGACTCTCATTTTTGTGCACTTATTTTGTCTTGCTTGTTGTTACCTCATATACATAGGTCGGCTCTCGAAATATTTAATGTGACTATACAAATAGTTCTTCAAGCTGCATCAGTTAACTCTTCCTGATTTCTGAAGTTCACGGCCATCAGACGTAGAGACTTAATATTCTTGGGGTGTGACGCACGAGGCAGCAGTGTTATGCTAATTGCTACGGTGTTGTGAATGCCTATGCACCGTGATAGCCATCACCGTGGGTGCATTTAATGTGAGTGGGCTTCATCCATGCTACCACTAACCAGCTCAAGCGCTCCGTATACTAGGATACTGATCTGCTCTTGGGTGCGCACCAGCTCGAACTATATATGAAACACAGCCACGTCTAATGCGAATTTCCACTTTATGCGAAGAAAAATTGTTGCTATCATCCCAAAATCATTCTTAACGTTATTAAGGACATATGCACGCCCACACCTTGAGATTTTCAACGTCGTCCCACTGCCTCTCCTTAAAAGAGACATAAATCCCTTGGTCGAGTGCAGAGACGATCAACGAAATGAGTGATAGGTTCGAAAGATAAAACTTACGAGTATAGACTTTAGTACTTAGTATTATTCTGTCAGAGATGATTGAGAATCATAGGTGTTCTGATAGTGGTGTACAAAATATTAAGCACTCCAAACCATCCCAACGTGAGCATCTTACAGATACATCACCACCAGTCCCCTCGAAGCAATCTTCTAAAAATTGCGCATGAAAGAGCGAATACTCAGGTTCGTGCACACTTTTTCTCAATGAGAGTCGTCGCAACTTGGAATGCTCTACCAGCCGAGGTGAACATAGCCTCTTTAGTAGACAGCTTAAAGAAGAGACTTGATAATCACGTACTCACATGGGTTATCATGGACAAGCTATACCTGATGTAAGTCTTGAGAAATGCTAGTTTTTACTATTGCCATCTCCTCATATATTTACCGTATTCTACCCCACTTATTATTTCTGTTTCCTCTCCCTTGTTTACACTTCGGTCCTCACTCACATTCTTCACTACCAATTAATAAACTAAATTATCCATACATTACTTAGTTCTGAAATTTTATTATTATAAGCATTAGATTTTTATCCCCATTATTCTACACACTGCAACTAACTGGTGTCCGGTCTGGTAATGTGATAGCTGCTGGTATCCAGAAACCCTACTGCCTTGAAACAAACGTATTCATTCAAATCACGGGACATACAAACTCACAACCATTTACCAACTGATTATAACTAGTGCAGACGAGGGGCTAGACCACCATCCATCGGACAAAGCCGAATACTTGGAGCCTTACCAAAACAACAAGAATTGAACGCATATAAATCGATTGGTTTATACTCACTCGAGAAGAAGATATTGGATATTGGATTTGATACTAAATTTAAAGAACTCGTTACATCGTTTTGAGTTCCTGTTGCATAACTTTGAAAGCGCAACAAACTTGACATTTATATCTACTCATAGGACTATTTGCCTTTTCACCGTCAATGGATCGGCATCATGATGAGATTTATGAGTCACCTTCTGTACCTTCAATAACAGATGACCAGAGCTCCTTAATTGACGAAGGCTATTGGCACGATAATGGTAAGTTGAACTGTTATAAAACTACCTAATCATATTGGTAAGTCAACTGTAATATAGCGAAATTTTGGTGATGAAAATCTTCATGTATTCAGTGATTTTGGAAAATATCTAGGTTCATGGTATGGGAAGCTGATTAATTTGATTCTGTTTAATAAGCTGTTTATCTCATCTTTATTTAGTAATACGCACTAATAATTAGTCTTAATAGAATAGGAATGAGATATTGCCTCTTATTTTTCATTAGCGAACGGTAATTGAATTGAATTGTGCTGTTTTGAATGCAGAACAAACTTTTTTCGCTATTACTTGAAGTATGTCATTTCGATCTCCTAAACAGTAGATAAGGCTTCTCAATTACACTATCTCTGTCCAGCCTAGCCGTCCGTAGTGTTGTTCTGTTACAGAATATTTTGACGTTCAATGTGTGTTATTTATTGTATGATGCAAAACTCAGGATGATTGAAAAAATGTGCTTCTTTTCAACTGATTATGAAGTAGATATATCGTCGTTAAGATCGGTTAGTTGAACAGCATCAAGAATTTCGTCCTTCAATATGAAAAGTGCTTAAAATCTGATTAGAGTGCGATTGTTTTGATATTACGTGAGACCTATCAAACTTGCATCACGGGGTTGTGAAGATTGTTAAGTTACACATTTTTGAAACCATGAATCGATAAATGTTAGACCACCATGGATGCGCACTGCTAAGGAGTCTCATACCAGAATGAAACGGCCGTCCAGATCTTCCAGGTTTCTAATGGTGGTCTAACATTGATCAATTCATGGTTTCAAAGATGTGTAGCCTATGAAATTGTTTGACACTATTCATTGTTAATTTTTAATAAAATCGTAATCTAAAATCCCATGTTTATCTCATCTAAAACTCGTTACCTGTATTAACTCAAAGTTCAAGTAGAATAATTTTTGTTGGAATGAAGCACTTCGTACGTATATACATCAGTTCAAGTTGTCATACCACAGCACAGTGAGATGGAATGGTCATTTCAATACCCATAATAGTAGAGGTATTAGAAGCATTAGTGCTAATAGAGAAGATTAGGGTTTGAAGGAATTACTTAGGGATAAATTTAAAAGAGAAAGATAGAGGTGATGAGGAATTCAAAAGACTAGGATTTGAGAGAAGACAAAGAATGGATGCACTTGCGTCACTGCACACGATTTTGAACCATGTCGTTAAAGGACCATAACATGGCTCAGTCACTTGCCAGTGGCTTCATGGATTTGTGCCATGTTTTGTTCTAGCTGCCCCTAGCTTTCTTCCAACCTATTCCTATACGACAAAACAGCTTGTCGGAGCAGTCGGTTTTTGAGTATACCCATATCATGTCCTAATCGCCTCAATTTATGAAGATTCACTATCTCATCAATAGATTTGCCATCCTTACCTAGTACTACTGCACAGTACACTCCTCCTTTAGTCAGCAAACAGATATCCCGCCTACGCCATAAGTCACGCAGGTTGGCAAAGTTAGTCGAGATTCCCGTATCCGAGCTGAGATTTCGTCAGTCACCAGGCCATCAGCACTGACGATACTCCCAAGATAAGTGAAGCGGTCAACACGCTCAACTGCTTCACTCCCTGTCATTAGTTCAGGTGCCGATGCAAGCCAATCTTGAAGCAACATTTTGCATTTCGAGGGTGAGAACCGCATCCCGAACTTGCTTGCATTGTTGCTTAGGGTGGTCAGAAGACTCTGCATTTTGTCAGTGTCTTCACCAAATAGAACTATGTCATCCAAATATTCTGCGTCACAATCGTAAGGTTAATCATTTTTTATAGATTATTCTGTCAGCAGAAGAAAGCGGTGATAAAAATTTTTGGGAGCACCAAACTAAATCACGAATGGTGCGTATTACACAGCTGAACGTACGGGCCTTCGGAAATAATGACGAATTCCAAAAATAATCAAGGTGGACTTCATTATCTCTTTTGACGGTAACGGACAACACTTAATATCCATTTAGACCAGCCATATACATTATGTAACAGAGACATCATGTACAAACTTATTTTCGATGTAAGATATATTTAATGGTTTCATACAACATACTTCATAAGTGTGTAATTTTTAGACGAAGTATATTAGATAAAAAGATAATTCAATTTTTAGTTGTTTTTATTATTATGTGCACAAGCTGATGAAGGTCTTGCACTAAGTTGGTCAAAATTTCTGCCCCCTGATATGTGATATAATCGTTAGCGTTACTCGATTTGCTGACGTCTCTCAATCACTAAACATGAAAGTATTCCGATAGACCTAAAATATTCAACATCGAAAACAACACTATATATTTTCCAATAGCGAGTGTTCAATCGGAACTATAAGTAGCTATTCATAATAGCTTACAGAAATCAATATAAAGCATTGTCCTGACTTGGCAATCACGTAAAATAGTTAATATAAGAGATGAAATCAGGAAAAGTTGAGCGGATGTCCTGCATACAACTATACGATTTTTTTCAGTTAGAGTGATGGAGATCAATGTTTTACACGTTAAAATCATCAATCGTTGTTAGACCACCATTAGAAACCTGGTGGTCTGCCTAAACTGTTGAAGAGTATTTCTTGAGGGACCTAGAATAGAAGTTAGATTAGTGTTAGTCTTAGGGACCCGCGAGCGCGACCGCAGAGCCCAAGGGACAACCGCTTAAGGCCGGTCACGCATGGCCTTTATATTGGAAGTATTTGAAGTGTTAGCCCCGCTCTTGAAGCGGCCCTACCGTCGTAGACGGAAATCGGTGAGGTAAGGTGGACTTTATGGATTCCAGGAGATCGTCGATTTTCTGTTATCCGATTTTATGGAGGAGAGAATACTCGTTAGGTCAAAGACACCATAATTTCTTGACATTTTGTTACAACACTTTGCCTACTATAGTTTGGATGAAGAAAAAGATGAGTTTTACAGGAAGCTCTCTCATCTGTAGCATAATCGAGAGGCTCGTCTGTGAATTAAAATACGACTACGGCACCGTGGTCCGCTCTCTTACTTCATGGATATGAAACTTCTGACCTACTTTACTTACCTGTCACCCCCAGTGGAGCATAGGCCGCCGACCAGCTATTGTCGGGGAAGTAGATACTACAAGTATCAGGATATACTTTGACATGCAAACTTTCCTCAAGGGTATCATATATCTTGCTGTCAGAAACCATGAATTTTGCATATAAACATTTTGAGACAAAAACACAAAGATTCTTAGATTGTCACTTGATTAAATCTTGGTAAACTGAGGCTATAAGTGGGCTGAACTTATTCAATGTAAATAATGCTTTATTTGAGAGGAGGAATTTTTTCGGTATTTTGGCAAAATGTTCGTTGTTTACTTGAATTGACCAATACTTGTGTCTTGCAAGGAGGTTAAGATGTCACCTCTACTGGTTAAAATGTTAACAGTCCACATGGGTTAAGTTATATTCCACACCACTATTTCCTGAAGCGAAAGAATTTCAACATCGTTTCTGAGATAGTAAAATAAATCTAGGAGACAGTCAGTTCAAAGTTATTGTGATTGATTTTTAGAGAAACAAATCAAATGACATGCTTTGCAATTAAACGTTATTATTTGATTGCGATTAGATTTGTTTATCTTTATCAGGTAATTTTGTGAAGACTTTTTTTGATTAAAGATCATACATAATCATACGAGCTAATCTGTAGGACGTAAGTGGTCAATTTTGCCAACAATTTACACGAGATGGTAGTTAGTGATTTTTCGGCAGCTTGTTTGAACTCATTTGTGCTAGTAGACTCTAAGTTTTTTATGATTGACTGACTGGTATTCATAAATTTTAATAATATGCTTTTCGTCAATGTTTTCCATTTTGCTTGTTAAATGTTATGAAATTTTTGTTAGTCCGTAAAGTAGGTTCTTTTAAATTAGTTAAATTAAATTCCTGTTACCGAAAATTAAGATTTTATTGATTTTCAATGGACTAAATGCTGGTATTCATAAGTTTTCATGTGTTTATATGAAATTTTTCAGATTTGGTATTGGCCGCTGAATTGGGTAAAGCTCTGCTTGATAGAAATCGAAAGTTAGAATTAGCTTTAGAAAAATCTAAAAGTACTGAGCAAGAAAAAGATGCTGAAATTGAAGTTAGTTTTAATACGTTTTATTTGATCTTACTTTA